TCTAACCCATTGAGTAAATACCCGAGGGTCTAAACAACCATCAAAGGTTGGGGCATCCAATTTAATATTTTTAAAGAAACGATCATCGTGGTGAGGAGGGGATTAAGTATCATGACGGTGACGCTCTCGTTCCCTATCACGATCTTGATGTCCATCCCTATGGTTATGCCTAACGTGTTGTCGGCCACCATGGGGACAACGATAATGCTTAATACTAGACGCTTCCGAGTTTTCAGCTTCAGTCGTATGTGGGGTTTGTTCAAAGGTGGACAACCTAGTAGCTAAGTCTCTATTTTCCTCACGAGTAGCGGCCATCTCAGTTTGGATAGTCGCCAATTGAGGTTGTAACTGTTTTGGTTAGTGACAAGTTGTGCTAATTGTTGAGTGAGAACATTAAGTTGGGATGGGTCCATGGTCAGGTTACTGGAACTAGATGTGACAAGGCGACCACTNTCACGAGTAGCTGCTACCTCAGTTTGTAACTGTTGTTGGCTAGTGACAAGTTGTGCTAATTGACGAGTGATGGCGTCAAATTGAGTTGGGTCCATGGTCAGGTTACGAGAACTATATGTGACAAGGCGACCACTACGCAACTGCATACAATATACTACCAGCTAAATGAAGAGTATAAAGAGATCAAAAAACAACTCGTTTTAAAATCGAAAATAATGACCTGATCAAAAAATTTCTTTTTATTTTTATTTTTTTTATTATTTTGGAATTATGTAGATGCAAATATTGCAAGCTAATATTGCCGATTTATGTAAAATAGTAAAGAAAATGTCAAATATGAATCAACAATTTAATTGTGTAAAATAAATGAGAATATAACAGGGTTAGGATTTAAAATAAGTAGGATAAAAGTGGGTGAATAACACAATTAGGGGTTTAGTGACTTGAATTTGTAGGTAAAATTGAAATAATAGCAACACAAAAATTTAATTGACGCAATTTTATAATGAAACTGTAATGTAAACTAAAGACGAAGAAATAGTAGTGTCCCGGTTGTTCATCGAAAGAAATGAGCAGTAAGTAATTGATCTCCAAAGACAAAGAAATAGTAGCTCTCGTTTTGATCGTCGAAGGAATTGAACTGATCCGTAGGTCAAAGAGGTACCTGCAAAATGTTAGAAAAAATACTCTCCCTTTTTTGTTCTCTTTTTTTTTCACACTTTTCTCTCTCTCTTTTTTTAAAACTATAAATAAATTACAATTATTGGGGCCCAAACTGAGACCCAAGAGCAAAACAAAACACACTAAATAAAATGGAGGTCCAAACTACCAATCACCCCTAGGCCCAAAACGAGGCCCAATTAAGGAAAAAAAAACTGAGGCAGAGACCCAATTAACAATAAACACTTTTTTTTTAACTAACACAACTTAACAGGCCCAACTTTAAAACTTAAAACAAATTGACAGGCAAGCCCAAATTGACCAATTACCTAGAACACAGCCACTTCACTTCAGGCAGAGAACTTGACAATTGTAGAGGGCTGACGAAGAGCAACCGGTAGAGGACTTCGCGTGTGCCGGCCTAATAATCGCGGGTGGTGATGACCTTGTACGGTAGTGATCTTGGGGTTTCAGGAAGTTACGGGCGACGACGGCGGAAATCTTCTTCTTCTTTTTTTTTGCTAGCGTCACAGTTTACTGTTGTTGGCGTCCTGGGGATGTATGTTTGGGGTGTTTTGGGATGCAAACTGATGATGGAAATCATGTTTGGCTCTGATACCACTTTGATGTAGAATAGGTAGAAGAGGCAGGGAAGAAGAAGAAGCTAGGGAGAAGAGAAAGAAGTGTGAAAGAGAAGAGAAGAACCATGAGAAAATGTGGCAGCCGCCAATCTTAATTTTATTCAATCATTAGCTGAAGTCAGTTACAATGAAAACCCAATAAATAGAAGAAAATAACATAACTTTAAGGGTTTGGGCCAAACGCTACTACAAGCCTAATAATACAAAACACAAATAATAAAGTCCAATAACAATAAAATAAATCTCGCTGATATCCGCATCAACTCTCTCGGGGTGGAAGAAAACTCGACC